CAGCTCCTTCAGCTGCTCCTCATAAGCCCTGTGTTCCAGACCCCTCACCAGCTTTGTCGCCCTCCTTTGAACCCGCTCCAGGGCCTCAATATCTTTCTTGCAGTGAGGTGCCCAAAACTGGACACAGCACTCGAGGTGCAGCCTCACTAGAGCTGAGTACTTGAGGACAATCACTGCCTTGCTCCTGCTGGCAACACTGTTTCTGATACAAACCAGGATGCCACTGACCTTCTTGGCCACCTGGGCACACTGCTGGCTCATGTTCAGCCGAGCATCAATCATTCACCCCAGGTCCATTTCCTCTACACAGTCTTCCAGCCACTCTGCCCCAAGCCTGTTGTTGCTGGCTAAGGTGCAGGACCCGGCATTTGGCCTTGTTGAACCTCATCCCACTGGTTTCAGCACAGCTATCCAGCCTGTCCAGATCCCTTTGTAGGGCCTCGCTACCCCTCAGCAGACCAACACTTCCAGCCAACTTGGTGTCATCTGCAAACTTAGTGAGGGTGCACTCGATGCCCTCATCCAGGTCATCAATAAAGATATTGAAGAGGACAGGCCCCAGCACCGACCCCTGGGGAACACCACTCATGACAGGTCACCAGCTGGATTTAACTCCGTTCACCTCCACTCTCTGGGCCCAGCCTTCCAGCCAGTTTCTTACCCAGCCAAGAGTGTACCTGTCCAAGCCAAGCTTCTGCAGAAGAATACCGTGGGAGATGGTGTCAAAAGCTTTGACATTACCTTTGCAGGAAATGCAGAGATGTTATGAAGGGCTTCCAGATGCAGCTGGTCAAATCACATCTGTTTAAATGAAGTTTTAACCCCAACACTACTTCTACATGTTTACCCTTACGTTTCACGTGAAAGTAGGAAACTTTACCCCTTGCTGTGTGCTGCTCACCTTCTAGTCAATCCCTGCAGCACATGCAGCCTCTACAGAACTGAGCAGCAGTCACTGTCCAGGCCCCAACTCCTCCCAGCTGTGCTGCCACTGGTCCAGGCTGCTTCTCTTTCTTGCAGACTTGCTTTGGGATTAAGTGTGGATTCTGGTGCATAACTGATGAAAATACAAATGAGTGAAAAGGCTCCGCTAACTTCTACACTGCTGCCTGCTGGGGACATCATCTTTGATTGCAGCTGACCTCTGCAGATACAGCTGCTGAGAACACCAGCAGAGCTGGGCTTCCTTCTGCCTACAATGAAACACTATTATTCCCTGCGTGGCACCACTCTTATTACAAAATGACCTTTCACTACTCAGATCCCAGGGATCTGTTCTATGTTTGATCGCTTGTAGTCGAACTGCAGGTCAACAAAAATGCTCTGCTCTGTAGACAAAATCTCAATTCTCAGGAGATAACTGCAGTTTGTAGTGGAGTTGTCAGACCGTCTTCTCCAAGACCAGTACTCTAAGCACTAAAACTGATGATAAATTTAAACTTTGAAAAGTGATAAGGAAATTTGAGTTCCTTGCTTTATATTAAACAGCTAATTTGCTAAGCTAACAGTTTTACTGGACTCATCTGAGTTTGAAAAATTAGTGCTATACACCTTGTGTAGTATTTCTGTACAACGACAGAATGAAGAGATCTGAAAAAGGAAAGACTTCATGCTTTTAAGTTCATATCTCATTTTTGTATTCCAACATTTTAAAAAATAGCTTTTATTTTTTAAAATCTTCTACTTTAATCTAGCAGAAACTTCCAATAGAGCAGAAGAAAGAGGCAGAAAGGTCTGCATGTATAATGCAAGATGAAACAGAAAATGTAAACAATCATCTTTAAAAGCTAATGTGTATTTCAGTATTAAAATTTTCCAGTATGTAATAAAATATTGGTACATTTAGCCTGACACTATTACTTTAAAGATCTGCCCCATGCAGCACTTAGAGTATGCCAGGAATGCAATGTTCAGGACACCTCCCTGGATGAGTCCATGGCACTGCTCCAAACACAACAGAAGAGCCTGAACCCACATCTTCCATCCTCCAGAAAACTACTGCTGGGCTGCTAAATACTATGGATCTACCAGTCCTCAAAAACCAAAATTCTACTGTCCACATTCTTCACTGGATTCCCATTTTCCATACATAGTGACCCAGATGTTTCCCCTCTGTATTTCCATCTACAGTAATTTCAGCGCACCTTAAAATGAAGCACCTGAAATGCCAGAGACCACGATAAAATATTTTCACATGCTTCTAAGACTGTAGTCTGTGAGCAATAATCAGAGCACTGCAGCACTACTGCAGCTGAGTCTGAGAAGCAGCATTTATCACAGCAACTTTTTTGAGCAGTCCGATATTTGGATACAGAGTCTCACAAAGATTTTCATTCACATTCTCTAGTATCCTTAAGAACAGATGAGATGGGATGGACTTTGTTTCATTAAGTGGTCAAAGTGAAGGATACCTTTCCATGTTACCAATCCTCTTGCAGACAATGTTCCATAGATCTTATGAGGACACTCACACGTTCCTGCTAATGAAGATTTTGCAGTTGGATAAACTTGTCTCTAAACCACTTTGATATTGCTCAGGGTTTAGTAAAGTTCAACCTTCCTCTTCAATTCGGCATTATCAGCAAAGCTGATAATCTCCTCAGCTCCATCAAAATTTTAGAACAGAATAGAGAGTGAACTGCATTTTCATAGCACTTCAAAACACTAGCTAAGTTTTAGCTAGTGTTAGGTGTTCTCAAGATGGTGATACAGCCACATGAAACTGAAGATTATATTCACCTCCTGACTTCTCCCACACTTTTGTAAATATCATATTATTGTAAAGAGCTAGGAGAATGTCAAATGCCTGGCCTTACATTCTTTTGTACCCCAGACAACATGACTTGTACAGATTCAACAGTCCCTACCAAAGTGGGATTGGGCATTCCCCTCATTACAACAAGTATTTAGTAAGATCTCCAAGCAAAGGTTTTTGCACACTTCCTGTGTGTTGTTGACAAACAGGACAAAAAGCCATCTCCCATTCCAATGGAAAATCAAACGTGCAGCAGGAGTGACCAAGATACTTATCACTACTGAATTTAGATTCTAGATCTGTTACCTGCTTTCTTCCTTAAGTCTCCTAATACAGCAGCTTCACTTGCACATATGAAAACATGCAAAAAATTCTCAGATATGTGCATACAACAAAATACAGGAACGATGAACAATTTTACAGGACACTTTTGCAAACAAATATGCTTCTTATCATCCTAGTATCCTGTGCTCACAACTAGTGCCACAATTAGTTTTAAGGGGGTATTAAAGATGCTTATTCATTCTCTTTTCCGTATTGCTGGGGAAGAAACGTTCATCCCTCAGAAGAAAGATGATCTCGAAGTTACAGGAAAGAGGAGCTTGACTCTTTGAGATGGATTATCTCAATCAAGTCAAATAAAAATCTCCTAAAGCCCGAACCTTTATTTTGCACATTTTAAAATGGATGTGCTAACATATGCTTTGAGCAGGGCACTGCTCCAGGTCACTTCCTACGGTGCCTTTTGACCTGAATCTTCTGATCATTACATTTGTTCTGAGATATGTGGGCACTCAGTCATTATTACAGGGCTGATTATGAGTGAAAAAAAATAAGTAAGCATCCTATTTAAGGCATAGCTGTTTACTAGATATGTGCCTAGTAAATGCCTTGTAAATGCCTAGTAAATGTGACTAGCATGTTCCTTTGACAGTTCTGTCAAAGTGGTTGTGAACTTAGTGGTTTTCACAATTGTCATCCATGAGAGCCAGAAGAGTAAGATGATTCTCTTCTGAGTGACATGACAAAACATGCAGCTTTATGTTTGTTTTTAGAAAGCAATCAAAAAACCAACAAAACGTACAGTTTGACTACTTAATAAGTGACATTCTAGAAAATAAACATGCTAGGAACTTCACTGTATATCATATGCAAGTGTATTTACTAGGAATATTAAAAAAACTCTCATGCACTTGTTATCTTGCAAGACAGAACACCCAATTTGGTATCAGTTTTTCACCACTGTTTCAAGAGAATCTGTTCAGAGTTACTGGATATTTTTCTTTCTCTAGCCCTTGCCTAGAGGAGTCATTCCTTTTCTCCAAGAAGAGAATTCCTTCCCAAAAAGTTCAAAGTTCTACACGCTGTTTTTCTATCCCCTTCTCTTTAATCGTTAGCTAGTACAAAATTCTTTGTTTCTTTTTCTCTTACTATTATTGCACCTAAATGTCAGAAAAAAAATATATATATACATATATATATATAAATAAATCTTGAATTTTTTGCTGCTATATAGACAATGCATAACAAACATAAAAGAACAAATATTTTTTCTCAAAATATTTCCCTGTAAGTATTTTATAATTAGAAGTGTAGCGCTGCAGTCACAATAATTTATGTGTATCCACACGAAATCCAAGGAATAAGAATTAAAAAAGCAACAACAAAATCCCTAAATTCCCATTTCATACAGATTTGATTTTCCTGCACTGGCTTTTCCTCACCACTTTTTTTCTGTTAATTCATTTCATAGACCACATCATGACTCAGCTTAACCCCATGTAAGCAGATGGAGGAAAATATGATACTACAAATTCAATTTCTAGAATAAGTCACTGCACATTCCTGTGACTAATAGGTAGCTGTAGGTATGATACTATGTCACATTTAGAAGATTATTTATCAGGCAAAGCTGAAGATGGGTCAACAATCTCCCCCTGTTAAGGTACATCCTCTTCTGGGCTTATCTCAGTTGCAGCATGTGATAATAGCAAAATCACTGCAAGTCCTACATTTCTGGCAGTCTCAGCTCCTTCTACTGTTTGCTACTTTCCAGCAGATCTCTCAAGTAGAACAGTCAAGATCAACTTTGGGCTGCTTAAACATAAATACCAGTTTTAACAGTTCACAGTACACTTGGCAAAGCTGCCTTCAATATCCCACCAGGAAGAAAAAAATACACATGAAAAGCATAAAAAACTCCAACAATCAACAACAAAACCAAACCAAACCAAACTTCCCTTACCTTGCTGGAGGCACATCAATGTTTGAAGAAACAACCTTGCGCTTCTGTTCCAGAAGACAAACAGAACGAGTGTTTTCCTTTTCATATTCATGAACTCTGCTTGCTTTTTTGGTCTCTGCTGTTTTTAGATCTTCCTCCTTCGTGGTGAACAGGAGAAACTGTTGGTCTGGCAGTTTTTGACTGATGTCAGTTTTTACATCCTCCTGTTGAAATGCAGGGAAGGTCATTTCACGCTTGATGCTGGTTGCCTGCAAAATTAAGAGCAGTTATTAAATTTTTCTCTTATTTCTCTAAAAAGTGGTGGTGAGGACCCAATATCCACAGACATTTTAATTAGCTCTTTGAATCAGAGAATACTATTTCTTTGCTATTCATAAATTCTGGAACTGCTACTAATTTCTCCATAGTGTTAAAGACAGCCCAGGAAAATAAGCAATTATTGGCCATTTGGCAAAGCAATCCAGTAAGTCTTAATGTTAAATAAAAAAGGTATTGGACTTGAAACACCGTAAGCCACAGTACGCACAACTTATATTTAATGCGCACACATCTGTGCTGTGTAACTATTCAAAAGAAATTCTGACTGCTCTCATCCTAAAATCCCATTAAATGTCAGAATTTACACATATGTCTTTCTAAAAGGCAACCAAGAAATAAAGGAGCTTCTGAAGCCATTTATGTGCTTTTAACATCAGGAGTTTCAACCACTAGCTTGCCAGAAGTTCCAGGGCTAGTCCTGGGTGGCAGTCCCCTCCTCTGAAGCCAAATGGCCACCAGAAGACAGAACAACCTGGCTGGAATAGATGTACTTCCAAAGCACATGCATGGTGTCCAGAAGTCTTCAAGACTTGCAAAGTGGATTTTTAGACACCTGTTACTATTACTATGGATGTTACAGTGGTGAAATCCAGGATGCATTACCATCAGATACCAACAGCACAGATAAGCAGGAATCCTTTCCTCTGTAAACTCTGCCACCTTAAGCCTTCTTGTCATTGTTCAAAAAATGAATAAATATATATGTAATTAATACCTATGTATACAAATACATATATGTATCTCCTCCCCACAAATCTATTTATAGCTTTCAGATCTTGGCAGGTATAAAAAGGTGCAACCTATTTCCAGTTCACAAGGAAGAGTCTTGCCAAGGTAATTTTGTTTTGTTACGATGTGAAGTATATGTCATATTTGGGACCAGTGATTTAATGTGTCTCATTCTTGTGTTTCCATGGAAGGACTTCTGGCACTTGCTTCAAATACAAAACTGAAATTGTTACTTTGTGAATGTAAACAGTACAAAGAATTAGTCATTTTACACTTCACACACGAAAAAATGACACATTACCAAGAAAATTTGTCTGGAAGACAAAACAATCAGCATGCGATCACAGAATTAAAAGAAGACATATAAACAATATAAATCTAATTATGATCTAATACGTATTTTTGGAAAAGTTCTTAGATTTACAGAAACGTCTTTTCTGAGGGTCTGAATATTTTCAGATACTGAGTAACCTTCTGTTTTCAAGGAGATAGACCTGAAATAAGTGATGCACTGAAGACAAGAAATGACTGAGATCACCTAGGTTCCAATATCCAGCCTAGAGATTATGCAAAGCCAAATGAAGGTGTGTATAAAAATTTGAATTCTGCTGTTTTATCATCTTCCAAGGCAAAGGCAGACTCCTCCTTTCTCTACTCTCCAATTCCAGTCTGAACCACAGAATGGCTGAAGTTGGAAGTGAGCTCTGGAGGTCACTGGATCAACCTTCTGGCTCAAGCAAGGCACTAGAACGCATTACCCAGGATTGTGTCCAGGCAGCTTCTGAATATCTCCAGGGGAGGAGACTCCTCAATTCTGAGGAGTAATGAGGAGTCTGAGTAATCTATCCCAATGCTCTGTCACCCTCAAAGAAATGAAGGTTTTACTTGAATTCAGATGGAAATTCCTGTGTTTCAGTTTGTGCCCATTGCCTCTTGTCCTGTATCATTTGGGCACCACAGAGAAGAGTTTGATCCTATCCTGACACCTCCCTTCAGATACTTATACACATTGAGGAGATCCCCCATGTCCTCTCTCCTTCAGGCTGAACAGGTCCAGCTCTCCTCATGTGAGATGTCCCTTCAGTATTTTAGTAGCCCTTCCCTGGACATGCTCCAGGAACTCGAAGTCTCCTCTGTATTGGAAAGCCCAGGACTGGACACTACTCCAGGTGATGCCTCATTAGGGCTGACCAGAAGGGAAGAATCATTACCCTCTATCTGCTGGCAGTGCACTTCCTAAGGCAACCCAGGACACCGTTGGCCTTCTTGGCCAATAGTGCACAATGCTGGCTCACGTTCAACTTGTACTTCGCCAGGATCCCCTGGTCCTTCTCTGCTAAGTCCATAGGTCAGCCCCCAGCTTGTACCACTGCATAAGATTATTCTTCCACAGGTGCAGGACCTTCATTGAATTTCAAGAGGTTCTTCTCTGCCCATCTCTCCAGCCTGACAGGACCCTCCCAAAGGCTGTGGAGCACTCCAGGATATCAGCTACCCCTCCTGGTTTTATATCATAAGCCAATTTCCTGAGAAGGGCCCTGTATCCCTTCATCCAAGTCAGAGATACACAAGTTAAACAATACTAGATTCAGTACTGACACTGCTAGCTGCACACCTCCAAACAGACCATGTCCTTTATTACAAACCTCTAAGACATGGCACTGTCAGTTCTCAATCCACTTCACAGTCCATTTATCTAGCTCCCACCTAGTGAGTTTGATGGTATGATGGGAAACAGTGACAAAAGTCTTGTTGAAGTCCATGCAGACAACACCCACTGCTCTCCCCTCATCCATTCAGCCAGTCATCCCATAGAAGCTAAGCCGGTTGGTTAAGCATGATTTCCCATTCTTGAATCCATGCTGACTACTTCTAGCAACCTTCTTGTCTTCCACACGCTTAGAGATGGCCTCCAGGATGAGTTGCTCCACTACTTTTCAAGGGATGGAGATGAGGCTGAATGGCCTGCAGTTTCCCAGGCCCTCCTTGCCCTTTTGAAGACTGAGGTGACATCTGCTTACTTTCTCAATCATCCCTCCTGATCGCCATGACTTTTCAAAGATTATCAGGAATGGCCAAGCAGTGATGTTCAGCAGCTCCCTCAGCACTTGTGGGTGCATCCCAGAAGGGTCCATTGACTTGTGGGTGCCACATTTGCCAAAACCAATCTAACCCAGTCCTCCTCAAACAAGGAAAAGCCTTATTTTCCCCACACTTTCTCTCTGGTCTCCTGAGTCAGGGATTCCTGTGGGCTGGCCTTGGTAGTGAAGACTGAAGCAAAGAAGGCATTCAGTTTCTCTATTCACTCTATCCAACAGGATGATTTTGCTTTGTTTTTAGTTTTTTGTTGTTTTTTTTTTTTTTCTACCCAATATATTCATCATTTTACCAAAGAAGAAAATAATTTGTTCTCAATGGGACTATGACATTTTATTCATTTTCAACAAATATATTGTCACACATCATTAAATTTAGTCATAGTGATCACAAAAGGTTGCAGACATGACTAAATTAACGGTTAGACAAATAGAATCAAAAACATTAAGAACAGAATCACTTTTACTGTGATACAAACCAAACTGTTACGCATACAGCAGGAGGGTTGAAACTAGATGATCATTGTGGTCCTTCTCAATCCAGGCCATTCTATGATATGATATGATATGATATGATATTCACATTCAGCTCAAATACATTCAAATAATGGTTGGGTTTTCATATTTCAATATATCATCATTAATAGCGAGATCCAAGCAAGTGTGTGAAAGTGAAAAATGACCACAGATTCAAATGTTCAGAAGGTTGCAGAAGGTCCACCAGCAGATGAACAGATCAGGTCCATTGGTTAAATAGCCAGAAATGGCAGGAGACCACATCTAGTGCTTATTCTTTCTGCTTTCAACAGATAATTGGGGAAAAAAAAAAAAAAAAAAAAAAAAAAAAAAAAAAAGCATCTTTCTAAACTTCCCCCTCGTGATTTCTCATAAGGTATCTTTTCTCCTTTAAAAACAGGTGATGATAACAAGTCTGGACTTGAATTCAGTGGCTACTGTCTGGTAACTCCCCTCTGCTCTGCAGACAGCTTTTTTTCCTTTAATTCATCCACACCTACAAGAGCCAGTTCCACTTGAAACTTCTGCCCTTTGTGGAAGAGTACATGACCTTTTTATGGCAACCTAGTATGTATGTACGAGCAAGTTAATGTGAGAGCATCATCTGCCACAGTAATTTGATCAAATTTCTCACTGTTTGGTAAATCCATTGATAAACCATTGGGGCTACCCACTTTTCACGTTCTAATTCATGATCATTCATAGCTGTGAGATAGCATTACCAATTTCTAATGTATTTTTCCAAATAAGTTATCTGCTCTATCTTATCAGAAACTTTTTTCCCCGTGAATCCAGAAGCCTTTTAACCATTTCAAGGCTTTTGGCAGTTCTGTAAAGCTACAATACATTGCAGCAAAAACTTAGTGGAATGTCTAATGCAAGCAGGCAGTCTCACAGATAATACTTCTGATACTTAGCATTTCTCTCTCATTAGCTAGGAAGTGGTTAAAACTACATGATTATGGTGCCAGCTAATGGTTTGCTTTTTCTTGCCAACATACCTCAATACTTGCCACCTTACTGCCTCCAGTATCAACTGCTGATAAATACCTCCATAATTTTTTCCATACACAAGTAATTACCACACGTTCAAACCACTTTATGTTACAGTCATTGCTTTTCTATGCAACTCTTTGCATATTTTTCCCTTCAAGCCATCCGTAACCTTCAGCTTGCTTTGAGCCAAGTGCTTTGCAACCTGCCCTCAGGCAACTGACATTGCTTGGAAGTTCAGTTACAGAAATACAAGTTATAAAAGATCTGCAAATTTTCATCTACCCTTGTTTTCTATCGGCAGTTACCGTCACCTCCCTTTGACAATTTCCCTCCTACCACTATGGGCACATGAGACTTTTGATACACTTGGAAATGACAGTTGAATGTTACCTGTTCTCCTTCCTGGAGCTCAGATCTGGTACTTGCACCCACTTGGCTCTAACCCGATTCTACTCTTTCTGTTCCTTTTCAAGAAGTGCTGGCCCTCTCACACAGTCCTTCAAGTTTTCAACATCTAACAGCAGGAACATTTCCAGGAACTTCTTCAGAGACAATGACAGGGTTACAAAGTCTCTACCCTTGATTAATCTGAA